CATTCCTGTCTGCTTGGAGAAAAGTCAGGCAGCTCTACTTTCCACTGGAATTCTCAGGAGTGTTTGGTACTTTCATCTCGGAGTGTTCACACACTTGTTTTAATGTGCTTTATGGAAATGGTGAAACTCAGCAAGTACAGTTCCTGTAGAAAAACATCTGCACTAACTATTCACTCACATTTGCATCTTTAAATAGACTTTTAGGCCTCGTAGCCGATTTCCAACAAAGTTTTTTGGTTGTGAGCGCTGGAGCCCTCTTAGAGGCAGCTAGTGTGAAGTGACTGGTTCCAAAAATTAAAAATTTACACTGACATGTTAAGTGCATCACATCAAAACGCAGAATACTTGCCATAACACAAAAAAACCATTTACGGTAAGTAGCACTTAGTGAGTGTAGAAAGAAAAAAAATATAACTCGATACAGAAAATATATTTTTAAAACCCCATAAGTACTCCATAGAATATGCGGAGCCTTATTCTTCTCTCAGCTAGATGTGTATGACTCCCATTGACCTTGGTGGAGCTGTAGGTGTGCATCTGAATTTGGTCCAGAGTATTTTACAAGAGTTTGTCATAACATTTAAATTAGTATTAGTAATGTTGGCATAGGTCAGTGTGTAGGCATCTATAAAATGTATACACATGGATATATGCGGAGTAGCAATGAACTACTTGTATTTTCTATTAGGGAAACTGGCTAAAAGGGATTTTGGGTCTGTTCCCCTATCAGTGGGTAAAATGTATTCTCTCAACACATCACCAGACTTGTATATGGAACTGCATGAAAATTGGGAGTGGAATTGAGTGTAGCTTTTCTCATGATGCTTTCCCAGTTAATAAGCTAAAGTAGTAGGTCCCACTGCCCTCTAATGTCTGGGATGGCCGCAAGATCCACATATATATAAATTACGGGACTCTTTCCGAGCCAGCCTCATCAAGTGTGGTGGCCTATTAAGAGCCTGTACTGAATCTCCTTGCACTGTTATGAAGGAAATTCCCCATGCATTGCTAGGAGAATAGATAGTTATATTGTGCTGAAGAGGTAGATTTTCAATTTTAAAATATAATTATAAAAATAAGGCTTTGTAAGTATTAATTTTGTTGTAAATGAGTTTTTGTTCTTCTTTTTTATGCTGAGGATTATTACACTGATTCATTTTGGGCTTCATTCGGAAAAAAAAAGGAAAAAAGCTGAATAGAAATTTTTTGCAGGTTAGTTGGACAATAAGAACCATTTTTGTACTTTATTAACCCAATTCCCTGTCTGTTTTTTTTTACGTTGTACACATGCTTAAAGGAACATATCATAAGCAAGCAAGGGGAATTGAAAGGTGGGAGAGGAACTATCATTTGCTTATACTGTAGCACGGTCACATTCAGAACTTGAACTTGAACCTACAGCCTGCTTGACATCCTACTGAGATTTACAACCCAGAGAGAGAATAGTTATATAATAGGTAAAAACAGGCAGACAGTGGCCACAAAAAGAAAGTGATTTACTACAGTGTCAGTGATAGTAGCCTATTTATAACGCTTCCTATATATTCCTCCAAACATTTATACAATAATGTATCATGTCTGCATAGGTTACACAATTTAATGCCAAATTTGGTTACAAAATATGTAGCCTAGGCAGTTGCAAACTATTTTTCTTTGCTCAGCTGAATGACATAAATTCCTTTTTATCTGCCAGAAGTGTAAATAGTTAATATGTCAGAAATGTATTTGATTTTTAAATGACAAAATGGGGGGGAGGGGTCCTTAATAATGCTCCCAGGAAAATCCCAGTCAAAATAAAATTTCAGAAAATGGGGCATGAATTAAGAAAAATTCTGAGTTGTTTGTTTGTTTGTTTTTAATGACCAGCTCTAGTTTATTAAGTCAAATCTAGCATTTTGAAAGGGCAGTTGTAGATTTATATCGAAAGCCTCATGAGAATCAAGCAGCCATTTAATGTCACAATTTTAAAAATCCAACAGTCTTAATATTATCCCGAAGGGTGAGAGACTTTGCTTACAATACTTCAGTAAGCATTTTAGCAGATGATAGTATGTGAGCAACTGGAAGCTTTTTTTTTACATACACACACAGACACACACACACACACACACACACACACACACAGATATATATCTATATATAGATAGATATCAAATGAGTACCGTTGTTTACACTTGAAAGAGGTGGTAATTTGTTTTTTCTTAATAAATGTCTTTGTTGCAGGCCAGCCTTCCATATATATTTATACACTGTGTGTAAACGTGTGTAATGTCTATGTCATTTGTGAAATCCTGTCTTTCAGAGGAATAAACAAGAGGATACAAAATCATGCAGTGTTCAATTTATATTGAAAAGCATTGTTGCAATGGGCAGAAATCCAGGAATGGTGTTTGGTTGTTTTCTCAGAGTTAGATGGTTGCCATCTGGCATAGATAGTGAGATGGTGTTGTCATCAGTTTCTAGATGCAGGAAAGAAATGAATCCTCATCTGTTTCCTGTGGATAAGCAAGAGGTTGATAATCTAGTAAAATCTTGTTACCTTAAAGAAAGCAGGCTTGGAATTTGTTTACATAATACAAGCCAGCTCTAACTTTCATGTTAATATGATAAGTTTCTTGTTAGGAGGCTGGAGAAGTTAGAAAACCTAACCTTTGTTGAAAAATACCTTACAAAAATTTTTCCTCGAAGGTTTACTCACACTTTTTCTATGCTGTTATCTTAATCAACTTTATTTTTTAAAGGAAACAAGATGACATTACTCCTGGTGGGGAATAAAGATTTGTTTCAGATGGGACTGTTAAGCATTCTCTTTTTTTACAAAAAAAAGTTTTATGCTAAGACAAATATGTTTGCTAAAGCATATCCTTCTCTGTTAAAAAATAAATAAATAAAAGGAGGGGGGCTGCAAAAATCCCAGACAGCACCTGTTAAGCACGTCATTAAAATTGGCCCAGTGCAGAGGTGAAGTAATAATTTAATTGGAAAACTAGTTTAGTTTACTATCTGGCTTGCATTCCTGTTTGCCTTTTCTTTGTTACTCATAAATCTTTCAGCTTTTACCATTATCATTAATCATTTTTCCTGTTTCCAGTTTTTCACAAGTAGCTTTGTCTATGATCACCTAAATGTACAGGTTCTGTTTAACTAAGGAAGTTCAGTCGGCTGAGGCTTTTGCAAAAAGGAAGAAGTGGTGGGCAACCTCTTGAACTCGAAAAATAAATAAATGTATAAAAACACTGTTAAGATCTTGCTTTTGTGAATCTTTTTCATTTTCCTTGATCCTAGCTGATTTAGTATAATATTTGTTTGTGTGTTTTGAACATTTTATAATCTATTTGCTGGCTCTTGCTTACTGAATTGTATAGTTATTGAAGAAATCCTGGTTGTATATTATTGCAGAAGACATCACTTTTATTATGTTTTTGTCCTTTTCCTCCCCTGTAATTTTTTAATATTATTTTGTTGAAAACACAAAGGTCTATATCAATAATAACCCCTTAAAAGATTTCCATTTTCAGAACCAACTTGGAGGGGAAAAATGAGGGAAAAGCAGATGGAATTTTTTTTATTAAGTATTAGTCATGTGGGTTGGCTGCATTAATTTTAAATCATTCTAGTAATATTTTCTCCTTTCATTTGACTGTTCAGGTGCTCACATAATATGCAAATCATTTTACAATGGATACAAAGAAACATTAAATATATTAAAATCTGCATTTTAATAAAGTTGTCAATGTATAATGCATATCCTGCAACTAAAAAAAATTATAAAAAGCAATAAAAGGGTAATATAAGCATAGAACTATTTAATAACTTTTCATATTTTACAGTGTGGTAAAAATATATGTAGGATAAAAGCTATTGGATTTGGGTTTGAAAAATATCATGTTCCAAGTTGAAATGTTGCATGTTTGTTTCAGCTTTTTTGCAATGTTAGGTCTGTGTGTATGCTTATATAGCTTTTAGTATATCTTTTGAGTTGGAGTTGATTTAAGTTTTTGGACACCCTTTGTCTTATTTCAGATGGAGTGGATGTTGAGGATGACCCTACCTGCTCATGGCCAGCTTCATCCCCCTCCAGCAAAGACCAGACTTCACCCAGCCATGGAGAAGGTTGTGATTTTGGTGAAGAAGAAGGTGGCCCCGGATTGCCCTATCCATGCCAGTTTTGTGACAAGTCATTCAGCCGCCTCAGCTACTTAAAACATCATGAGCAAAGTCATAGTGACAAACTCCCTTTCAAATGCACGTATTGCAGTCGCCTCTTTAAACACAAGCGAAGCCGAGACCGCCATATAAAACTTCACACAGGAGACAAGAAGTATCACTGCAGTGAGTGTGACGCAGCATTTTCAAGAAGCGATCATCTTAAAATTCACTTAAAGACTCATACGTCCAACAAGCCATATAAATGTGCCATTTGTAGACGTGGATTCCTTTCGTCAAGTTCTCTGCATGGTCACATGCAGGTTCATGAGAGGAACAAAGATGGTTCTCAGTCTGCTTCTAGGATGGAGGACTGGAAGATGAAAGACACTCAGAAATGCAGTCAGTGTGAGGAAGGCTTTGATTTTCCTGAAGATCTTCAGAAACACATAGCAGAATGTCACCCTGAGTGCTCTCCAAATGAGGACAGGTCTGCTCTTCAGTGTGTTTACTGTCATGAACTCTTTGTAGAGGAAACGTCTCTTGTAAATCACATGGAGCAGGCTCATAATGGTGAAAAGAAGAACTCATGCAGCATTTGCTCAGAGAACTTCCATACTGTTGAAGAACTGTACAGCCACATGGATAGTCACCAGCAACCAGAATCATGCAATCATAGCAACAGCCCTTCTTTGGTAACTGTTGGTTACACCTCAGTATCTAGTACCACTCCAGATTCAAATCTTTCAGTGGACAGTTCAACGATGGTAGAAGCTGCTCCCCCAATTACAAAGGGTCGTGGAAGAAAAAGGGCAGCCCAACAAGTACCAGACATTACTGGTCCTTCAAGTAAACAAGCAAAGGTTACCTATAGCTGCATTTATTGCAACAAACAGTTGTTTTCAAGCCTCGCAGTTCTGCAGATACATCTGAAAACTATGCATTTAGATAAGCCTGAACAAGCCCATATTTGTCAGTATTGCTTGGAGGTATTACCCTCATTGTACAATCTGAATGAACATCTTAAGCAAGTCCATGAAGCCCCCGACCCAGCATTGATTGTTTCTACCATGCCTGCCATGGTCTACCAGTGTAACTTCTGCTCTGAAGTATTCAATGACCTCAACACTCTTCAGGAACATATCCGTTGTTCTCATGGTTTTGCAAACCCTGCTGCTAAGGACAGTAATGCATTTTTTTGTCCCCATTGCTACATGGGATTTCTTACTGATTCTTCTCTGGAAGAGCATATTAGACAAGTTCATTGTGATCTTAGCAGTTCCCGTTTTGGTTCCCCTGTACTCGGAACCCCAAAAGATCCAGTAGTAGAGGTATATTCTTGTTCCTACTGCACAAATTCTCCAATATTCAATAGTGTTCTTAAATTGAACAAGCATATCAAGGAGAACCATAAGAACATTCCCTTGGCACTGAATTACATCCACAATGGAAAAAAATCCAGAGCCATGAGCCCCTTATCTCCAGTAACTATAGAGCAGACCTCTTTAAAGATGATGCAGGCTGTAGGTGGTGCTCCTCCACGTCCTGCAGGTGAATATATTTGTAATCAGTGCGGTGCTAAGTATACTTCCCTGGATGGTTTTCAAACTCATTTAAAAACACACCTTGACACTGTCCTGCCAAAACTGACGTGCCCACAGTGCAACAAGGAGTTCCCAAATCAAGAGTCTCTGCTGAAGCACGTAACAATTCATTTCATGATAACCTCTACCTACTATATCTGTGAAAGTTGTGACAAGCAATTCACTTCGGTGGATGACTTGCAGAAACACTTGCTTGACATGCATACGTTTGTATTCTTTCGCTGCACCCTGTGTCAAGAGGTTTTTGACTCTAAAGTCTCCATTCAGCTACACCTTGCTGTGAAGCATAGCAATGAAAAGAAGGTATATAGATGCACGTCTTGTAACTGGGACTTCCGCAATGAAACTGACCTGCAGCTGCATGTTAAACATAACCACCTGGAGAACCAAGGGAAAGTGCACAAGTGCATTTTCTGTGGTGAGTCGTTTGGAACAGAGGTGGAGCTTCAGTGCCACATTACTACACACAGCAAGAAGTACAACTGCAAGTTCTGCAGTAAAGCTTTCCATGCTATTATCTTGCTGGAGAAACACCTGAGGGAAAAGCATTGTGTTTTTGAAACTAAAACGCCAAACTGTGGAACCAATGGAGCATCGGAGCAAGTTCAGAAAGAGGAAGTGGAACTCCAAACCTTGCTGACAAATAGTCAGGAGTCCCATAACAGCCATGATGGCAGTGAAGAAGATGTTGATACATCTGAGCCCATGTATGGATGTGACATTTGTGGAGCAGCTTACACAATGGAGACTCTCCTGCAAAATCACCAGCTTCGAGATCACAATATCCGACCTGGAGAAAGTGCCATAGTTAAGAAAAAGGCCGAACTCATTAAAGGGAATTACAAGTGTAACGTGTGTTCTAGAACCTTCTTCTCTGAAAACGGGCTCCGTGAGCACATGCAGACGCACTTGGGACCAGTGAAACACTATATGTGCCCGATATGTGGTGAGCGGTTTCCGTCTCTTCTGACTCTTACTGAACATAAAGTCACTCATAGTAAGAGCCTGGATACTGGAAACTGTAGAATTTGCAAAATGCCTCTCCAAAGCGAGGAGGAGTTTTTGGAGCATTGCCAAATGCACCCTGATTTGAGAAATTCCTTAACAGGATTTCGCTGCGTGGTATGCATGCAAACGGTGACCTCTACCTTGGAGCTGAAAATCCACGGGACATTCCACATGCAAAAAACAGGAAATGGTTCTGCAGTGCAGACTACGGGGCGAGCACAGCATCTTCAGAAACTGTACAAATGTGCTTCTTGCCTGAAGGAATTCCGTTCAAAACAGGATTTAGTGAAACTTGACATCAACGGTCTGCCATATGGTCTGTGTGCTAGCTGTGTTAATCTCAGTAAAAGTGGTAGTCCAAGTGTCAACATCCCTTCAAGCAGTAACAGACAAGGCCTGGGCCAGAATGAGAACTTGAGTTCTATTGAGAACAAAAGCAAGGCAGGGGGACTGAAGACACGTTGTTCTAGTTGCAATGTTAAATTTGAATCAGAAAGTGAACTCCAGAATCATATCCAGTCAATCCACAGAGAGCTTGTTCCTGACAGCAACAGTACACAGCTGAAAACACCACAAGTATCTCCAATGCCCAGAATCAGCCCCTCCCAATCTGAAGAGGTAATCCCCCCCACCCTCCCACACACACATATTTTTGTTGTTGTTGTTACTGCTGCTGCTGCTTTCACACTTTTGACAAAACTCCCAATTTTCTCAAGCCCTGTTGTTACATGCCAGGAAATGTTCTGACTGAACTGTGGTATAGTTTCACCCATAGCCATTAGCTAGTGATTACTTGCTTCTTGATATGCCTTGTGTTTTGGCTTGAATGATTCAAAATAGGACTAATTCCAGTCTCCCTAGGATATTGTCTTCTGTATCACCGAAGAGACCAGTCTTCATGCCAGTGCAACAGAGATTTGGAATCTTAGCTTAGCTCCATTGCAAGTTGGAATCCCTAGCTTTGAGTTGTGCTTACGGCAGAGTGTTAATGACAGAAAAGCAAAATACATCGAGCCAATGTACTGGCACGAAAGGTGTATTTTTAAAAAATATTTATGAACAGCAAATTGGGGGGTTATTTTTGCAAATTATGTTGCAGACATTGATTTTTCCCTGTCTTACCACATTGTGATTAGAAAGAAATTCAACACTTTATTACCTAAGGTAAAGGATGATATTAGTCTTTAAATGCTAGTTCCACTTTTTAATTTTCCTTTTTATTAAGGACATATTAGGTAGTCCAGTGACACCAATGCTCTAAGTAACTGATGATTAAAACTACATTCATTCAACATAACTTCAAATATTTGCAAAAATTATGATACCAAATTCTTGAAAGATTAAATATGCTTTCACTTGTTTAGATTAGCCCACCAACCACTAGTATTTGGGGTGGCAGAAAATGCTGCAACAGCTCTATGGGAGGGAATAGAGATTTTTTTTTTCATAAATATGAGTAATAAAATGTGCCAATTCTCATTTTGGCATGATTTCTTGACATAGGTCCTTAACAGTGTGGAAAACCTAAATAGCATTAAACTGCTCAACTGGTCTAAGGGATGGATAAGGACACAAGCTGGGTATGGAAAAATGACTCCCTGTGACAGGTCTTTCATCAGTCTCCTCACCTAACAGTTGCATTGCCACTTGTGGGGGTAAACAATAGGGGTGTGCAAAGCGAGCCCTATTCAATTCGGATTCAGCCCAAATCAGGGACAGTGATTCGATTCGTTGATCCAGATCACCTGTCCCTGATTTGATTTGGCCGAATCCAAATCTGAAGATTCGATGCTGATTGGGAGAATCAGCGATTTGGACATAGACCAGCTTTAAATGTTTTTTCTACATACCTGGAAGGTACCAACATGGCTCATGAACACTGTGATGCTGAGGCAGATGGAGCATTCCACAGGAGTGCGGGGTGGCCCCTACCTGCTCAGCGGTGAAGCTGGAAATAGACTGGAAGTACTTCCAGGTCTGCTGGGGAGCGCACGGGGGCCCCCCCGGCTTGGCGATCGAATCAGGGACCAAAGCTTTGCACAACCCTAGTAAAGAAATATCTTAGGACAGGGCTGTCCAACTTCTAAGCTCCCAAGGGCTGCACACCATGAGGGCCAAACCAGGCAAACCACGGGACACCAGGAGCTCTCTATGCTGTGCCTACTCCCCCACCCCTTGGGATGAGGGCAGGAAGCAGCAGCTGTTGGAGGGAGGGGGAGCCTGGAGACTGGTTGCTCTTGCAGCCAGAGCATGGGGGGAGCAGCTGCTGGGTGAGAGGCGGGGGGGCCACAACGTAACTACCCACAAGCCACCTTGTCTTAATGTACTACATAGTGAAAAAGTATTGAAGAAAAGGGATCTTTTAACAAGAGAACCACAAAAGAAAAAGTAATGTCTCCCCACGAGCTGAAATACATGTTTTCAGTTAAGAATAGTAAGACGATAACATGGTACGCTAAGTAAAGATCATGGATTGACCTCTCCTGTTCCCCTGAAAGGTCATCCTAGTCATCCTAGTTCCATTTCAAAATCTGCATTACCTCTCAGTTTCTCGAGGCTTAAAAAGATCTCTGCCTCTTCAGATGCATTGAAAAACTACCCCAAAATCTACCTTACTTCATAGATTTTATGTCCAATCAGAGGAATAGAATTGTAAACATGAAACACACGTGAAAAGTAATTTGGAGTAGTCACACAGTTAATAGTCAAAACTATTATTATAACAATAGGTTAGGTCTATTTTTTACATAAATCTGTTTATTTTTTTTATAATGACAATATCACTTCAAAAGGTAGCTATTTAAATATGCTCTGTGGCTATTAAAATTATTTAAAACAATAAAAAAACAGAAATTCCATTTGTTTTAATGGGAGTTTTTTTGGTTTGGAGTGTTGATCCAAGAAGTGAGAAAAATTATATAGCTGCTATACGATAGATAGCACTGAAACATCTTTTATTATTCAGTAATGGATATACATGGAAAGGAAATCATTTTTTTTTCAGTAGGAAACAGGAGAGTGAAGCAATCATTTGGTTTATTTGCTGATTGTCCCTACATTTGGACTAGAAAGCTTCTCTTTTCTTCTTTGTTCATGCTACATAAAGAATAGACCTACATACCTAGATCACAGATACTCTTTCATCATGTCTGCTTGATTTTTTATTCTTCAATTACTAAATGGTACCCTAACTACTGATAAATATCTCATAGTGGAGAGAAACTCGGTTGGTCTCTAAGCTTAATGAACTATTAACTGTTGGCTGTAGGTTTCTTGGAAGTCCCTGAATGATTACTAATGCTTTCTGCACGTTCTTAGTCTAATAACTAGAACAATAATAGTTAAAGTTTAGAACTTCCAAAGGAAATGCGGTCTGAACAGGGGAATGGGGACCAGAACTCAGTCCTAGTGCAAATACTGGTTGCTTCTCCATGCCAATTTCCTTATGAGTAAAATGGGGCAAATATACACATTAAAAGGGAGGTACATTTAGTATCAACATAAAGCACTCAGTGCGTGTCTACACAAGATGCCTTACTGCACAGTGGACTAATCTACTGTGCAGTAAAGAATCACCATCTGCATGTGCACAGCATTTACTACACAGTGAATTAGTCTACTGGGCAGTTGGCTACTACCTGTAGAGGTAGTAGGTTAACTGCGCAGTGTCTACTGCACAGTAGCACATGTGTAGACAGCTGACTGGCAGCAAATTGCTTCTGGTCAGGCCAGACAGCAGGGGGTGGGGGAACTGTCCCCTCCCCCAGGCAGCTGCCTCCTTAGTCCTGCACCCTGATCAGCATGTTAGGGCAAGGGGCTGGGAAGCAGCTGTTTGGGAGATGGGATAGTTTCCTGCTGGTCAGAGCACAGGGCTGGGAGGCAGCTGCCTTGGAGGTGGGACAGCTCCCCCTGTCCCCCAGAGCCCAAGTCTTACCCCAGTATCCCTGAGGGAGCCTGGGGCTCTCCCTTGCTGCTGTACAGGGGCAGAGCAGGGCAGGAGTAGCCCTGCACTGAACTCTCATTGAGAGCAAATTTGCCATCAACAGATACACATGTAGATGCGCTCCTGGAGAAAGCTTACAGCACCTTATTTTACTGTGCAGTAAGGTTATAGCACATTAATAGCACATGTAGGCATGCCCTCAGAATATGAAAAGCACTATTAAGTGCTATGTATTATTGCTTTTGTTGTTCCTCCTCAGACTATCATCATGCTTATGTTAATGATGCAGATATTGGATAGTGTGGCTTGACTTTTCTTTCTCAACGATCAGGGCTTGTCTACATAGGGAAACTTAACTAGCATAAGAATACTGCTTGTGTTACACTGTTGTATTACTCCAGGGCTGGACACATTCCAATTACTGAAAACAAAACCTGGTCTACACTACAAAAAATTTCTATTAAGAGTTCTCTTATGTTGAGACATCTTTGTTTACCTCTATGTTTCATTTTGAGAGCTGTTAGTAAAACTTGGGTTTAACCTGACATAGTCAAAATCATGCTGGTGTCATAAGTCCTGTACTGGCATTGTTTTATAGGGTACAGTGCCTTCTTTTATGCTACATTACCTGTATTTAGTAGTCCTCCACAGTCCTCCTGTCTTTGTGACATTCACCACTGTCATAATTTTGAACTCTGCTGTCCAGGGTTCACCATAGCCTGAATCTTGCCCTCATTCCTTAAAATCGCCAGTGCATTTTGGAAATACTTCTCTTTCCACTAGGCCACCCTTGAGAGTGCTTTTTGTGATCTTACTGCGGAGGTATGGTACAGTATAAAACTGTAGCTAAGGAGAGTTCAGATTTTGCATTGCAATCTGATTTAAAGAAAAACATCCTGAATTCCCTCTGTTTGCAGAGGTAAATCGGTAGTTTAAGTCCACTGCAGAATTGCTGCAACTACTATTGCAATTCAGACATTACAAAGGGCATGAAAGAGCTGTGGTACACGGGAATGAACAGCAGTGCTGAGCAAGAGAGAAAAGGGAAGTAAAAACTGTCAAACCAAAAGTAAGAGAGACCAACAGAAAATTGGGGCTGCCTCTTACACTTGTTGCTGCTATGCAGACCTGGATGCCATACTGAGCAGGGACCCTCACAACCATCCTGCAAGTAGCAGTGGATACCTGGCACCAACTTAAGAAGGAACCTCAGAAATGCAGACTCATGACAAGCTCATTGAGGCAAGGGTCTTGGACAATGCAGCCACCACAGAGAGCCACGTATATCTATCTGTACCTGACCCAGACAATCCAGATAGAACATCCAAGGAAAAGGAAGTCAGGTATGTGCGTTGTTGCATTCTTATTATTTTATTTTTACTTTGTCCATGGGCCCCAAACCTAATCCTCCCATCTCTCAGAATGGTAACTGAACATACATAGACAAAGAACCCAGGCATTGCCTTTTGAAGTAGATTTAAGCAACATGCACTGGCACTCAGAGACAAATAAAGGAGAGAAAATAGTAAGAGAAACCCAAACCAAAAGATGAATTTGGCAGGGCAGGCAGTAGAATTTCCAGCAACATAAATCTATTCACTTTTGACAGAAAAAAAATATACTGATATTTTAGTATGCAAATGAATAAGATTGTAAAATGCTTCTCACAAGCAAT